ATGCATGTTCTCAAACCATTAGAGTCACTCCCTAGTTTACGTGAGTAGAGAGCCGATAAGTATGTAAGTATAATTTTTCAAAAAATTGCTAGAGAGATCTCCAAAACATTGGCACAAATTGACAGTTATAATTTTGTAACCATTTTCTTTTCTTGTGGACATTGCAGCAACACAGAATTTTGCCACTGCACTCATGCTAGCCAGGTTTGAGTCCTGGAGGAAAATATCTACATAAAAGTTGTTTGCCTTCCTGGCAACCTTTCTAATAAGGGGAGAATATACTGTATAACTGACCTATAAACTCTGGAATTATACAAGTAGAAAGTGGTCTTCTGTGATGTTCAGGCATCAGACTAGTTGTGGCCTGCTTACTAGAGCCAATAGGATTTCAGCTGTAATATCATATTTCTTTAAATGTCATTCCTAAAATTTACCAAAGGGCAACACGTGCTCTGAAAATGTCTTTTCTTCTCGAATTTCTCTGCTTGACTCAGCTGCTCTTATTCTTTTCATTTTACATTACTGACGTGTGCATATTTTCCTTTCCCTCACTCCCCAGAATCTGAAGCTAATCACTTTTCAGCTACTGGAGGAAATACAGCCATAGAAGTATCTTTTCCAATGCTTCTGGTGCCAATCATCGGGTGAAGGGGGGGGAAATGTCCTGTTGCACCGATAGTAAGTGAGGACAGATAATTAAGCTCATTGTTAGTTGACTACTCAATCAGAAGGCAGATGTAGGTCAGCAGAAGAGAAGCTCCAAGGAAATCAATCAGAGCTTTAAACAGAGTCCAGCATCAGGAAACTGAAATAAAATCAAGACTAGCAAATATTATGTTTAATGAGATTACCTATTTCACACATTAAGCTGAGATAGAACAGGGGTGTCAAACTTGCATCATCACGGCGACATCATGTGACATAACATGACTTTTCACCCCTTCTCTAAACCGGGTATGGACGTGGCCAACATGTGATGCATCAGGCCTGCAGGTCACGAGTTTGACCAGCCTGCCATAGAACATAGAATGATAGGGTTGGATGGGACCTTGGAAATCTTGCCGTCCAACTCCCTGCTCAAGCAGGAGGCCTATACCATACAACCACAAATGGCTGCCCAGTCTCTCCTTGAAAATCTCCAGTGATGGAGCATCCACAACTTCTGGAGGCAAGCCGTTCCACTGGTTAATTGTTCTCACTGTCACTGTCTCCTTGGTTCTAAGTTGGATCTCTCTTTAATGACCTTCCACCTGTTCCTTCTTAGACCATGGCGAGGTTCCCACAGTGTACTGAATCCCAAGCCATCCAGTCCCATTGGAGCATAGCCTGGTGTTCCATCTGAAGATAGATGACCTATGGCAATCTCATGAGCTGCCCCTTGACTTTCTTTAAAGCCCAACGGCATGTTATCTGAAGAAGACACAATCCGTCCATTTTGTGCAGAAAAAGGGGAAATCTCCATGAGGCTCACTCTCATATACAGAGGTTGGTGTGTATGTGTGCGCAGTTGCTATGAATACCTTTAAAAAAAAAAAGCTGGATGATCCCCATTATAGAGTTATAAAAAAAGGGCCCGTCTATTCCATGGCTCAACAAAAAAGCTTCTATATGTCTGCACTGTAAGTCTATTGAGGGAAGATGGGCAGAAACAGCTGCTCACACCCGTTCCCCTTGTACACACAGATGGATGGAGACTGGAGTAGTTCTAGTTACACACACATAGGACGAACTGTTCTGCTCCCCTCCAAGGAGAACAGGGAGTTTTTCAAAAGCAAATGCTATGATTTCCGCTGTTGCATCTTGCTTGGGTTAATTTAATATGTAATGACTTGCTTGGTTTCTCACTCCACCTCAACGCCCTCTCGGCCAGCCTGCCACCCTACTCTCTTGCCNCCACCACTGCCTCACACATATGTGCTAATCGTTCCCAACTCTAGGGGGCAGTGCTCATCTCTGTTTCAAAGCCAAAGAGCCAGTGCTGTCCGAAGACGTCTCCGTGGTCATGTGGCCGGCATGACTAAATGCCAAAAGCGCACGGAAGGCTGTGACCATCCCACCAAAGGTGGTCCCTATTTTTCTACTTGCATTTTTACACACTTTCGGACTTTTGTCCCACTTAGCATGTCAAAATTTGTGTAGGTCTGCTGAACTCAGTGTATTTCAGCCAGTCTTGCCTCTTTCTATCCATGGGCCCAGGAAATAAATAATTACTTTGGATTAAGACTGGTGTTTTTTGGTGGGAGGGGTGGGGGAAGAGAACATTGAAAAAAAAATCTTCTCTTGTTTTGCTGCTATTCTCTCCTGGGCATTTTTGGAATCAATCAAACAGTGAGAGCACAAAAACGACAAAAGTCAAAACGGAGAAACTTTACAGCTATTTGTTCTGGGTCATGGAGGGAAAGAACATCAGGTGCCTCCATTATTTCAAGGAAATCCTTCCTTACTGGTCTGTCAGCTACTCAATTGCAGAAGAAAACAGGGAGGGAGGGAGATAAAAAAAAGAAAGGCAGGGAATGAAGCGTTGCCATG